AATCATTTTTTTTTAAATGTGTATATGAAAGCTGATGCATACAGTTCTCATCCTGCTAAACAATCTGCTTTCATATGAAAGTGTGTTGTGTATGTGTTATTTCCTTCTATTCTACCAAGAATGCACAGCTGGCAGGGCTTTGATGAATACAGGCTGATGTGTCCGTGAAAAGATGAAGAGACATAAATGACAGCCTACGGAGGAACACGGGAGGATCAGACCTCTTATCAGCTGCCTGGCGTATCAGCGAGAACGAGTGTTTACAGCTCTGCTGCAAGGCTTTCCTTAACAGAGGAACACTGCACTCTGACAGGATTTATCACATCTGCAACACTTTATGCTCAGCTGTACTCATGTTGAATGTTTCTCTGCTGCCGGAGGGTTGCAGCACCCAGCTATACACGTCAACTCACTGGACATCAAAACAGATTTCATCCCAGCGGGATGAGCACAAATGAACAAGACGGGGAAATTTCAACATTTTACACGATTACGTCTTTTCCACTTGGAAGCCACAAGGCTACGGTTCTCTGTCTCCACATGTAAAAGGCAATTCAAAGGCAATTCAGCTCAGCTCACTTTGATTCGGAAAAAAGAGAATGTGCTTACGCCCCTAAAGGCCTCTGACAACCCTGAAGACCATTTGATAAACCAGACAATGTGTGAGGAGGTTAACATTCTGGCTTTTACTTCATCAGGCACCTCCCTCACAAGACTTTTCTCTATCTTTATAAAATCAATAAAATACTCCTCCATTGGGTCTCCTCCTGGAATTTAATTAAGAGTTCAAAGATACTGACTTCCTCTTTTCACAGTGCACACAACTCCTGCTCTGTTTATCTGGTGATTTATAGCGTTGACAAGTCTTTTACGATTTCCACTTATGTGAGCTGACTTACAAGTTGATTGATATGATACCTGATGCTTCTGATGCTTCTAGGACAGTTGCTAATACTTTCTCTGTGCAGTTTAATGAATTTTCTTTTATGTGCTTTTTATGACTTTATCGCAGTTTGCAGAACTGTTCCGCTGGGGATGGTAACATCTCAACCGTTCTTTCCTGAACGCTCACAACTGAGGTGAGTTGTTCACAAGACTTTCAGTGGATGTGACACATGCTGTCATTTTAAAACAAGTTATCATAGTAATTGCAGATAATGAGGAAACAAAATTAAACAGTTCCACAAATTGATATTTCAATCATGGAAGAAACTTATAGAAGAACGACAGAGAATAAAATGTCTGAATGAGATGTGGACAGGGGAAATAGCCTTTGGCACTTAGAATACGACTAGGAAGTAGATCCTCATGGGGGAAAAGTATGGATGATGATGGTGTTGATGACTGGAGCTCAAGATCTATTGAATAATGAAAGCCCATGACACCACCTTTGACCAATTCACCTCTGCTCAAGTAACCGTCACTACCATCAAACTAGCTAGCACATCAAAATGGATCACATTAAGGCAGAAACAATCAGTGGTGGATACGTTCTCAGTGGCTTTGCTGCCTGTAGAAAGCATCACAATTTGATATTCAGATACTTTTCAAAGAACACAATTCCACCCTAACGTGGTGACAAGGAGGACATGACCCATTTGATATTAATATGTGTGTTAATCGTGGGTGATGGGTTGAGTGGCGTTATCTGGTCAAGGTAGATCAGAAATTGACTTGGAGATACTATATTACATTTATAAACAGAAACCAAATCATAGTATGTTCAGGGATCGGAAGTTAAGAGGTTTCTGTCATTGCACTCTCCTGTTCATAGCTGACATCAGAATTTAAGAGGGTTCTTCAGGGCCCGCTCACAGCTCTGGGCCCCAGGCCATTGCCTGTTTTGTATCTCCCCGGGGTAAAGGGATGGAGGTGGGTTGCTGAGCATCACGGTGCTGAGAAGACAAGCTGAATGACTCTGTACATGGTTTTGGGATATAACATTCCTACGATTCACAATGCCCTTCACTTCCCCTGATTTACAAGTCTAATTTACAACCGAAGAAAATGTATTATCCAGCCATTACCCATTTTATACCTGATATGACACAAAGTATGAAATATGAAGAGCCTTACACTCATACATGATCATTTTCCAGACTGTCTCACACTCAATGTCTTTCCAATCTTTTATAGCAGAATGACTCTACTGTCAGTCATAAATTTATCTTGAAGGTGCGGAGGCTTCTATAGCTGCTGGCTCTAAAGTAATGGCTTTTAAATAGAGCATGCAAATAAGTGTGTCTGTAGCTTTTCATTATTGTTTGTATTTTCTGTTGTGTCTTTATGGAAACAGATTTTTGACCTTTATTTATTTGATCCTCATTACAGAATATTTATCCCCACACAACCAGTAAGTAAGCGAAATACACTACCACATGGTGTCAGTGTTGCATATGAGACAAAAAGACACAGATTGCAGGATTTTTCTGACATTTTAAGTCCGTCACACTAATCTTTGCTGCATTTAACACCTCTGAGACATTTTCTGATAAGTCTAAGTCCAAATTGCTCTCCGCAGTTTTCCTGCAGCAGGACCCAGTTTAGAAAATTCACCTTTCAGAGATAAACTTGATGGATGGTTCCACACTTAAGCGATATTCTAGGAAATACACTGTAGTTGGGTGTCAGCCAGCTCTAAATTTAGATTTCACATTAAAATAAGAGCATCAAGGCGCCATTCTGCCAAATGGGAGGGTTGTGGTTCTGCTGGTTCGACGAGATGACAGTTGACCTTGAAGACAGCAGCTGATGAAACATATCACCACTTACTCCCTTGTTCTGTAGCATTTGACCACACCACGTTGGTTTGGCCGCAACCTCAAACGTTTACTTGGCTCAACTCAGTGACTGCAACATACAAGGAGCATGCCACACCAGAGTTGGACCCAGAAACTTCTCCTGACTATACCTAAATGAAAATAACCACTTAGAACAAAAACCAATAACAAGACTACAGAGGCTGCTGCGACTTAAATGGTGGAGAGAATACAAAAAGAGCTCCTCCTCTCCTGCCTCCCTTCAATCCCCCTCCACGAAATCACGCTCATCGCACCGTCCTGAGAGAGGAAAAAGAAAATGAGAAAAGGAGGAGTAGGAGGAGGAGTAGGAGATGGAGGGAGGGGGGGTAACAAATGTCTACAGGCAAAAGCTCCCAAACAAGTTGGTAAATGGACATTGAATGGAGATTGTTTTGTCAACAGTTTAAAAAATGTGGCACCATTTGAATAAGACACGTTTCTGAGTTCATTAGCTGTGATTAATGACTCTAACTTGGATGGCACTCAGTTGAGCACATACCTCCGCCAAGGCCCCAAAAACATTGTTGAATGCCTCGCAATGTTAAAAAAAGAGAAGAAAACAAAATCCTGGCTCCACAACAACATTTCTTCTATGACCCATAACACATCCTTCCACCAAGATTTGTGGAAATCCATTAGGTTCTTTTTGTGTAATCTTACTTACAAACAAACAAACAACAATCCACCAGACAGACGGACAGGGGTGAATCTCTCTCTTTGGAGGGGGTAAAAAGCTAATGATATAAACAAGAGTTTGTAAGTCACCCACAATTATAGATGTTAGTAGACAGCTAATAAAAATAAATTCTACAATTGTTAGTAAGAGGCTTTGGGCAATTTTTCCAGAAGATGAGAGGCCACTTAGTCCACTGGATGAAGAATTAATTGAAGTTAACTAATTGAAGAGTGAGTTTGATGCTGGAGGAGGATTTTCTACAACCTGGCAACCCAAACGTAGTTATAAATTGTCTTTTAATCAATAATAAAACCATTAGTTACATCTTGTAGATGTTTAATTGATGCTGCCCATTAGAAAGTTACTTGCATTTTTAGTTAACATTACAAAGGTTTATTAAAAATAAAGTGTTCACAAAGTAAACAGGCAAAACAAGAGTGTTTGAAGTTTTTAATGTCAAAGTCAAACTTTTACATGATTCATCTTCATACCAAACCATTCGTCGACAGCTCCTCTTCCTCCTCCTCATAGCAAATGCAATTAGTTCGTTATGTAATTACAGGAATGGAGCAGCAAAAGAAACAGAGCCAGCCCCATAAGAAAAGAAAACAGAGGAAAGAGGAACAATAAAAAATAACATTTTTTTTCTCATTTTTTTTGTATCTCAAGTGCAGATTTTAAGACCTTAAGCATGCCATTGTCTGTTATGGATTCGAGTTGTATGTTCTACAGTGTAATTTTTATCTGTACATGGCTATAAGGATAACAGCATGAGGGGGAAGACAGGTACGTGATGTCCACCTAGGCGTCCGTTTTTAAAAAAAGTCTAGAGAAGTGGGTGATGGGTCTCAGACGTACTAACTCTGTCGTTCTCCCCTCTGTTTTGCAGTAGATTGAAACATATTCATGTTTTTTTAAACGTGCAGTATAAAAAAAAAGATACACATCCACACAGATTCATGTACAGCAAGTTCCCTTAAAATCCAGACTGGAGGGTTTGAAAAGTGCCATAATGGAGCTGCCATAAAACAGCAGTTTTGAGGAAAATATCCGCCAGTGTGATGAGGCGAGGCCGTGTCCAGAGTCTCTGTCTGCAAATCACAAACTGGGACACAAGTTCTTCAAGACTTTTGTGTAGCGTCCAAGGGGTTAAGACACGTTGTTCCCAGAGAGTGCTCACCTGCCTCAGTGTTTGTACCCTGCAGGGTGTTCTGATTGTTTTCACAGACATAAGCAGTAACTCCATATATTTCATTTCATCTTTAGCACAGTCCATTGATAGCAGAGCTCAGTAAACAGCCATGTTGGGGAATTAGGGGTAACGAAGGCTCAGGGAGTAAGTGCAGCAGTGACCCAGAACAAGCTACAGAGTTGTAAAGTTGAAGAATTGTTCAGGTATAAGTGCAATCACACAAGTAAATTACCCATTTCTCAGCCCGAATCGTACTGAAAAATCAAAGCAGAAGTCACGATACTGTTTCCGCACACGAGTGAGGGCACGGTCAAGCTGCGACCACAAGTAGTTAAAAGGTTAAACACTATTGTGCATCTTACCTGAGTGTTATTCTTCTTTCTGACTCTGAGCTCTACAGGGTTCTCATGAACTAAGTTGTACTTAAACAAGAACGTCCCTTTCGCCTAGTCTCGTCCAAAACAGCCCGAAAAATGAAGAGTCACACTCGCTCACAATTTCCAGCAGTGTTACACATACGCCAATCCAAACGTTAATGAGATCTGCGCACATCAAGGGAGGAGGAGAGCGGTGAAAGGAAACTCATTAAGACCGCAGGGACGACCTAACCCTATTATCCCTATCACACCACCGAACCACACACTGATGATGAGAATTAAGATCTAAGGCCTTCATCCACACCCACTCGTCAGCCCAAGTGCAGCAGAGTGTGTCTGGAGTCGTGCAGTAGCTGCTGGAGAGGACAAATGTGAAGGAGTTTGTTATCGGCACGGTTCAGCACAGCAGTATGGGCGTGTTGAGGTCGGCACTGTGCGGTGAAAAGGGTCGCAGGCACTCTGCACTCTCACTGCATTGTGTTCTTTTTCTGGTGCAGCCTGCGGCACCCTTCGTGCCAACTCTGGGCTGCAGAAACTGAGAGGAAAGGCCCAAGGTTAGCCCAAACTCGCTTGAGTCGCGATAAAGAAGCAATAGTCTAATCCGCTGCAGCTGACTCCCTACGCTGCCATCATTATCTCCCATTTCCCCGTGAGCACACGCATTTAGAGTACAGATGTATCCAAATAGGCATGGTATCCAAAAAGGCGTGTGGTTTTAAAAAAGAGAGAAAAGAAGTTAGCTTTATCTTTCTTTCATGCAGTCTTTTCTTTTTCCATTTTTTTTTCTTACAGAAACTACAGAAATTTTGGTTTTTCTATGAGTCCTACTTACAGTATGCAGAGTATCTCATTTTCCCCTACATTATTTATCAATACATACAGTAGATGTCATTGAAATTCCCTTTGATGAAGCCTCAGACATCAGTCAGAGAGATGAGTAATTATTTAAATACATTTCATGTTTAAATACTGGCTGGAGAAGAGCAGGCAAAATGCTACAACTAGTTCAATGAGAGGAAATATGATAAAAAATGATAATTAAGACATACACACATAGTGCATATGAATTTTGCGCATTGCACACTTCTTAATATGGTTTGTGTTTCTACTTATGTGTAAATATGCTGTGTGTGTGTGCATGTGTGTGTGTGTGTATCATGTTGTTCTGTATGAAACTTAATGCAAAGTTATTATATACTTTATGTTACACTGCCACTGAGTCTCACATAAAAACTGTGGCGCGATGCATGTTCACATTCTGTAAATGCATTGATTGAGTCTGTGTTCACATGCTAACGTCTGTATGTGTCAGTGCGTGCATGCGTACGTGTGCGTGCGCATGTGTCTGAAAGAACAATTTATGATACATGGACACTGTTCGGAGACGCTGGAGGCGTCGAGGACCCAGCGTGTCAGTCCACTCTGAAATGGCGGACAGCAGCGGCAGAGAGGACGCTGCAGTCTTTTTTTTAATCAAATACACACATACGATATATACATACTGGATGTGAAGGCAAAAATAATTAACACATTTTTTCACATGAGCCAGACAAACTGTGGCACTACTGTGAGAACCTTGAATTCTAAATGGTTACATTTGATAAATGTAAAAAAAGTTGCAGTTTCTACTGAATCATTTTTTTTTCAAGTAACTGTACAGCGACCACATTTTCGTTGGTACTCAGTTTATGACTCACGGTTTTACGAGTTTCATTGGTTAATATTCCTGTCTTGGGTTACGATAGAGTTGATTAGGCATTAAAAAGTGTGACTGGTTTGAATTGATCCAAGTATCAAAGACCTGCTACCTCTTTTCATTGATTTTAAGACCTCAGTGGTTTTTTCAGGAGATGGTTCATCAGTTGAGTCCAAATCTGTTCCGCTATAGCCTCAGAGAAAGTTTTTAATGTGCATTTACAACATCAGGATTTATTCAGTATTAGTCTCCCTCTTCTTCACACTCATCCCTCTGTGGCAGAGGGTCAGGCATGCTTTAGAGTCAGGTAAGAAGAGAAGATGAAGCTGTCCTCCACAAGGACATAATAAGAACTTTGCCTGGGGGCAACTCTTGCTAGTAGTTTTAAAAAAACACTTTTTAAATTTTTTTTAGAAAGTTCTTGTGGTCAGAGCACGCTGAAGGGTTTATCCATCACTTGCTAAAGTTTAAGTGCCTATAAATATTAGTCAGAATCCAAAAGTTCCGATTTGATGCACAGCTTTTGGAAAACATCTTCCTTGACATTTTCACATCTTCACAGGTTTAAAAGGCCCTCCAGTAAAGTTTCAACCCTCCCTCTCTTTCAGAGCAAGGAGTTGTGCTCCGATGCCAGGCTGTCACAGGTAGACCTCGCGGCGTGACAGTGTGAGACAGGACGTGGTCTTGTAGTCACCTCCTGTCCGCGTCAGTGGTATCACCTCAGGTGGGTTCTGGCCTTCTCTTCCTTCCTCCTCCGGCTGGCGCCTCCCGAAGCCTGCGCTGCTAAATGTGTCGTAGGATGCTGAGGTCATCTTGCGGTTCAGAAGGTTACGGTTGTGATCGCCCATGTTCCTGTTGCGGTCTCCACCACCCAGGGTGCCGAGAGGATCCCCGTTGGCCATGGGTAATCTCTGACCTTCTCCGCTGACGACAACGCCGGGTTCCGAGCTCCCTGCGCTGCCGGCACTCTCGCTGTCACTCTCATGGTCGTGGCCACGGAGATTGTTGTTATCATCTCCCGGGGCGAAGGTGGAGAGCCGTGGGGGGTCGCTGCCGTGACGTTGGCGGGGTGAGGGGCGGACGGGCATCCAACAGGTGTCAGAGTGGCCGAATTCATCACACTCCCTGGTGCACTTTCCTGTCAGAGCTACGTCTGGCAGCTGTCTGGCATCTGGACACAGAAAAAGAACAAAGGATAGTGTGAAAAAAGAGACAGAAACTCCAGTTTGAAGCTGAGGACCAAAAATACACATAGGGAGTGGTTGAACTTATACAGTATTAACACAAGGCCAATTCTGGAAGAGAAGAGATGGACAAAATACAGGAAATGAGTTGAATGTGAGATGAGGATAACTTTTGCGTTCCCTCACAATAATTTTGCATTACCCCATGTTCCTATTTGCGTTGCCGAGTAATATGTTTTGCGACTTCTCACAGTACTTGTGCGTTCCTTCGCAATATTGCATAATCTCACAATCATTTTGCTTTACATCACAATACCTCTTACTAGGTTGTAATACGTTTTGTGTCCTCTTGCAATACTTTCGCCTTACCTCACGATACTTTTGCATTACTTTACCTCGCAGTACTTTTTTTGATCTTCTTTTCCTTCTGAGCCATATGTTGTAAAGTGCGGCTCAGGACACATTTTTCAGTCTAAACCTATTTGAGCCAGAGAAAAGCCAACCAAGCCTGACCTGCTACCGACAGACATTCTGCACTGAGTTTGTCTTGCTTGTTTCCTGACCCAAACCTGAATGTTAATATCAATATTTTTTTTGAGCCCGGCCTGTCAGCTCCCAATGAATCTACTACTGCTCAATAGACATGGTATTATAATTAGTGAAAGTAAACTAATTCTTAGATCAAGAGGCCTCTCCAGAAGGCTGCAGTATGGTGATCTGTGGGATGCTGTTGGGTTCACTCGGAACCAGTCACTGTACAACTGCACGGATACAGATGTGCACTCAGAATTCAATGACAATGTTGTAAATCATATTCTGAGGGTTCCCTCAAATGTAATTCTCCCCCCAAAAAAGGCTGAACACTGAGGAAAACAGGAGAAACACAAGCGTGTCATAAAAACGTATATTAATAATAGTAATGTATAATGTATGTGAAGGAAGCAAGACAGGCTAGAAAAAGGCTGTTAAAGCAAAATGAAAACTGCTGACTTCAAAAGCTATATTATTTAAAATAGCTGAGCTGTGCTCAGCATTTCATGAAAGGTGAAAGGTGAGGTCAAAGCAAACAAATATTGACGCCAAAGAAGAAGGTAATTATGAGAGAGTTGAATGACAAATCTAAACAGAGTGTGTTACATATATGAGACGTATAAAATTCAATGAGTGTTGGTTCAAAAGGTTAGTGAGGCACCAGAGACTGATGCTGGGAGTTAATGGTCAAAGGTTAAAGTTCTTATCTATGTAAACCAGTCATTTAGGAATCAATACCGACATCAGGTTCAATAGAGACAGGAACTATAATGATGACAGATGAAGTGACTGTGCAGGCGTCATGTTACAGATCATAGTAAAGTAAATATACATCCAAACCTTTGACTTTGATTCTCTAAATTCAATTTATTGTGAATTATTCACAAGAATTTTTTTTCTGTTGCTTTCTGAAAAGCAGAATTCGCCATTCAAATCCAGAAATCCATTTCACTTGCAAGATTTCACGTGTGGGCGAAAAAGGTGGCATTTAACTGAGAGCTCATACACAGCCTCAGAAGTACAGGCAGTGACCAAGGTTGCAGTGACCTTGGGTGTACCCTGTTGTTGCTGTTGTTTCAGCTCTGGCATGAGTATACACAGAGGAAGGAGGAAAATAAGAAGGTAAAATACAAAAAGCTTATTTTTTTGTCTATCTCCATCCTTGACACAGACCTGGTAAAAAGAAAAAAAGGGTAAAAATACAATTTTCTTGTTGAAAGGGAATAATTTGGCTGCTGAGTGACAGCAAGGCCACGGACGAGCCCCTTGCACAACATACTACGGCATATTGGGTTTTTCTAAAAAGCTCTTACACACAAGGGTTCACACAAAATGTGCCGAGCACATTCAAACAAATACAAGGCAGCTGCATCACACTGTCAAACACGTTCTCACATTCATCACATGAGAAAAGAAAAAGACTCCTCAGTCAAGGTTTCAATAAAAAACATTTCTAAGCTTTTCAGAGAATACAGCACATACAGCCTTGAGTGACAAAAAGAATACAAGTAAATTACTCTGGTAGCCTCTTGACCCCAATTTCTAGAGTTCAATGAATTTGGCTGTTTTTTTCATGATGTGTGTGTGTGTGTGTGTGCGTGTGGTCGCTCTGACCATTTTCCAGATGCTCCTCCTCCCCCACACTGCCCTCCGGCGTGGTCCTCTCATAGCCTTCCTCCGGCAGCGGCAGGGCACCCAGCCGCGGCCCAGACGAACTCTTGCTGCTCGGCGTCTCTGAGTCCTCCAGGCCACTGTCATAGCAACCGCCGTCCTGGGGTTGGCTGACTACCGAGAAGGTCACCCGTCGAAGGGTCCCCTGCAGCGAACATAAACACACACACAATATGGGATTAATCATCCAGGATTCCTGATCTGAGACTCTAAATCTGGGGATTAGACTGATGTTGGGCAGGGGTCTGCAAAGACATATTCAGATTATCTGAATGTGTTCGCCTTGATTATGGGCTTAGCCGCTACAATGCAGGGTAATAGTCATCAACCAATCACAGCAGCCTTGCAAAGTTTCGGCCATCTTTTAATCCCAGTTTAGATTAATGCTGCTGGACAAGGCTGATGTTTACAAACCTCTGGGCCGCTTGGAGACACTTAAATTTCATCTGGAATGGCGCCCAGTAGTAGCAGCAGCTGGACAGTATAGAGTCCCCTCTCAAAAACACTTACTTGGTGCTGTGTTAAAACAATTGAAGGATTAAATGATACATCTGGTCCTATATTTTTCTTACAGTCTGCAATCCACATGGAAAAAAGCAAAGGTAGTGATGCACTTTTCTTATTAAAAGTCTTGTGTGTTTCCAAAGCCTCATATCACTTCTTCCTCTGTGGCAAAGACAATTTAAAACAAAGTGAGCCCCACCGATACACTGGTGACATGTTCCTCCCTAACAATAACATGGCCAATGTAGTTTTATTTGAGTTCAGTCCCATTTACACCATCTCTCTGTGTGTGCAGGATGGTTCTGCGTATTAATACACATTCGTTTATACGTGTATTTATACATGGCTGGAAGTAGTAACCAGCTATGACAAAATTTACTCCTGTTTGAGTTATGGTTGTTAAAATCTTCAGTGTTCTGCTGTTTTAGGAAATGATTGAACCTTTTTAATAAATTAAATAATAAACTATTTGGGATCCACATCTAAAATCTACTGTAGGTTTATATGGAGGATTGATTGATGGATGGATGGATGGTTGGTTTTGGTCTTTTCGTTGGATTTGTTGGTAGTAACAACTAGAATGACACTTAAAAGATCATATACCTCCGCCAGGGCCCGATGGTTCCTTTAAATTTAATCAAGCTGCACCAAATTTCACACACTCACAGACAACATGTTGTTCAAGACAGTAAAAGAAAATGCTGGATCAGTCCTCTCATTAGGATCCAGATCAAACTTTTAATGGGTTCTTACCTAACCTATTACACATCTTTAAATTTTTGTGAAAATCTGTTCTGTTGTTTTTTTGTAATCTTGCTTACAAAGAAACAAACAGACAGGTTTGAAAACATTACCTTCTTGGCGGAGGGAGGTAAAAATACAGGATATCATCAGCATCTTATATATCATCAGTCTTTCACCAAATCCAAGATTTTCAGTCTTTTCACTTGTTTACTTTTTTTCTCTTTTTTTCCAAACCACAGACTCTTGTGGGATTGTTTTTAGATAGATTTCTTTTGCTTTGTTTTTAGTGTTTAATTTCAAATTTTTAGCACGACAAGTAATTAAACTTGTTTTCTGATGTTCGTTCTGGCTTTTTGATTCCAATGTGTGATTGCTTGAGATGTGAATGAAATGAATTATGAATTCCACTTATGAAAGCTTGAAATCCAACCATGGGGCTTTCAAAGGTAGACTGCAGCCATAGATATGAGCAGGAACCAACGGGCAATCTACCGCTAGTGAGAAATCTCCCCATCCTGCAGTGAAAGTGGTGGCGATTCATGTCATTCACTCAAACTGTGCATCACACCTGCTGAGATTTCAACCCACAAATCACCCCAGTCTAGTTAGCGGACAGGCTTTCACTTCAGAGCAAGAAAAAAAGATTGTAATAAGTCCATGCTGAGAGAATATCAGAGAGAGTTAAATGACTCTGTCTGGCCTGGGGGGATCACTCTGCACCAGGCAGCCCGTTTTTATACAACACCCCTCCTATCTCCTCTCATACTCATTTATCTGCTTGCAAAATTACCACCCTTTCAAATTAGATTTGCTTTGAAACACACGGCATGCAGAGAGGAAGTGAGGGAACTGAGGGGTGAGGCAGATTAGGCAGGAAAAAACTTAAAGCTCGGAATGCCGCCTCAGGATAATCTGGGGGGGGACTGATGGACGGCTGGGATAAAAGCCAAAAATGCACCAATTCGTTTATTTTTCTTCTTCTTCCAAACACCCAAAGAAAAGGAACATTTGATCATTTTACCTAATGAACGTGCAAGACGAGCGAGAAAAAATTAATTAAGCAGAGCATTTGTTTCTTCTGCCGTTTCTTCACAATGTTTAGATGAAAGGGACCTAGTCGCTCAGACAGCGGGGATGGCGAGCGCAAGCAGGACTGAGGAAGAGGAAGACATATTAGAGGCTAATGGAAAAGCAACAGTTCCTGGAATCTCAGTGGCTTCCTCCAAACTCTCCACAGAGAGAGAGCAATGTATTTTTAGAGAATTACTGTAGATGAAGACATCCAACCTCCTTTCCACTCATTCAGATGAGGGGCACAGGGAGAGAAAAGTGGGTGAAAGACTACGAGGCTGAGTGGAGACCTATGAAAGGATCACTTTGGTTTTGCTGCAGTGAAAACAGAAAGTTAATCATGTGATCTCAGGATGGTAAGTTTTTTTTTAAATCTTGAAATTCCCAAATCATGAAATCTTAGATTTCTTGATCTAAATGGCTTCTCAGGGTCAAATCTATCCACTAAATCCAGAAATATCTCTCTCATTTTATCGGCTTCACACTTGTTTATGGTGTAATTTGGACACTTGATACATTCAATATTAATAAACCTTTAATAAATCAGCTACCAGTGCTCTAAAGCAGCGAGAGCTAGGACTCATCAACATCGGTGACATCAGTCACAACAACAGTGCATTCACGACAATGGGCACTGATATGACAACTGATATGACATCTGATTCTCCGGTTTGGGTTCTGCGTGTGACCTCTAGCAAACAATGTGAGCAGCTCTTTTCTTGCAGCATTGGTCCTGCAATCGGTCTTTACTCGCTCCCGGCTCAATTACTGCAGGTGACTTTTCCAGTTTCAGAAAGAAAAGGCGCCCCCATGCAATTATATTTTTTAAGACATCCCATTATCTGACTACAAAAATACTCTTCAAAAAACCCAGAGGGTTGTTTCACAATGATCAGTGCTGTTGTGAAGGTGTTTCCAGGATCCTCAAACACTCTTTTCTACTTGTCCTCATTTGTCTCTCTAAACTGCTCCATTGTCTGATGCTCAAATTGTAAAATCTGAGCCAAAAACTGAATACTGACTTAACTTAAAATATCTGATGATTTAATACAAAATCGTACATCAATATTTTTCATTGTGTTTAACAGAAACTACCAGGAAATACATTCAGAAATAGCCCAATGAACATATTCTGTTTGTTGTGCACAGATGGAGTTCATTTTTTTTCAACCAGATGGTGAGAGGAGTCTATGAGGATACTGGAAATACCCCAGAACAGTGGTTGATATTGATAAACACGACTTCTGAAAGTCTAAAGTCGTGCTAACAGCTAGCAGCTCTATCTTTAAGCCTGTATGTAGAGGCGCTTTGAGTTAAACCCTATTAGAATGCTAACATGCTTGCAACAACTATGCTGAGCAGGTAGGCTATAATGTTTACCATGTTCACTGTCTGTTAGCAAGCTAGTTGCTAAATATCGCTTATCACAAAGACTGTCTGAAGCTGTTGGGGAGATCGTTACCTTGGCAGGTATTCGGTATAAACTGTTTATAAAAGATGGATGACATATCTTCTCCCTAAAAATGAGGCCAAATCATCCTGATTGCCCCCTGGTGACTGGCTGTAGTATAGGTCATAAATACTGCCTTCTCCTTGTTAGTGGATGGGGCATGGGCCAAACTAAAAAGTCAAAGTGAGCGATAAATACATTTGTCTTTCAAAGATGGTTACTGTCATTTTTGCTAATTCTTATCACACTGATGTATAACAGTACTGATGTATCTTATGATCCATCAAAATATTCTTTGAGATATTTTATTGACAATCAGCTGATCGAGTCATTGGGTTTTCTTCTTTTGGGGACCATGAATGTCTGAACAAAATTCAATGGCGATCTGTCCATTAATCTATTCCCATCCACCACATGTCAGATGCAATGATCGGCTGGCTGGGATTACTTTATGAGTGGAGAAATCCAGCCCCTGCCACAGGGTAGGGGGTGATTGACAGACAAAGAGTGTTAGTACTGTTAGTACTATTGCAGGCCCAGTACTGTGTGTGTGTGTGTATTTTCTATTACAGAATTCATGTGTTCAGCTGTGATTCCATCTAATTAAATTCCCCCCCTAAAACTCTTTCTGAGCAGAGCTGCCCCCTTTCATTCCTTCACCCTGATGGTTATATTTTATTTCTCTCCTCCCTCCATCTTTCCTTTCCTCCTTCCCTCCTTCCTTCAGCAGTCAACTTTGCTTTCCCCAGCTGTAACTCTCCCTCTCACTTCTTCCCCCCTCCCATCCATCCCTTCCTCCCTTTGCCAGTCAGCTTTATGATGTGGCGATCGATGAGGTGTCCTTGACCTCGTTATGAGTCCCACTCCTTTTCCACACAGCAGGCTTTATTGACCCACAACATCTCTACACTCCTTAACCCTTTTTCTCCTGTTTTTTTTCTCTGCTCATCTTCCGTCTTCTCTATCTCAAAAGTCTTTCACTCATTTACCAATCTCTCTTCTATTCCTTTGCCAAATCCCATATTTTGGCATATTTTAGTCATTAAATTCTACTAATTGTACACACTACACAATCTGCCCGTCTCTCTCATGTCTCATTATTGTTGTCTCGCTTCTTCCCAGAATCGGCTTTACATTTTTATTTTATTTTCATTTTTTCTCCAGCTACTCCCTCGTCATTCGAACATTTTTCCTGTCAAGGCTGTCTTTTTAAAGCTTTTTACACCTCTTTCTTCTCTGCTCATACCTTAAATTTATCCCTTTTCATTTCCTTCCTGCTTTACCAGCTTCTACCTCCCTCTGAAAAAAAACATGCTCTGCACTCCTTGATGTTTTCCAGCCTGACTCAGAAAGTACAAAAGCTTGTTTGTGTACAT